CCTCTTTTACGTAATGACTTTCCAGAATGTTTGTCATATATTGTTTTTCCTTTTTTCCTTATAAATAAATACGACCATCTCTTTCTTTTAAGCATCTTGGGTTGAATTTAAATCTTATTCACTTTTAAAAACATAATTGCGTATTACCGTGCAAAGATTTTTGAAAGGTACAGATATTCGGAAGTCGATTAAGTCCTAGGCACCATACTTGAGATAACTGAAAGGCATTGCCTAAATCAAGAATAAAAACAACATTTGGTACATCGGATTTAAGCATGTTGAAGAATCCAAGATCAAGAGTCAGAATTCAAGATTCTAGAGTCAAGAGTCATCAAGACTAACAACCAGAGATTGAGATTTCTCTCTAAATCCTAAAATAACATATTTCACATATGCATTTTAGGCACACATAAGAGCATTACATCCATAGCATCGAATATATGCATAATTTTGTAGATTCTTGTTATAGTCAATTTCAGCTTCACAGTGAAAGATATTGAACTCGAAAGCAATGCAATTTACAAGAGTGGATTTCAACTTCACAACGAATGACATCCAATTCAAAGCTCAACTTCACAGCGAATGAGCCATCCACAATTTCAACTTCACAGCGAAAGATGTTAATCTCAAAGCGATTCAATTTACAAGATTGGATTTCAACTTCATAACGAAGGACATCCAATTCAAAGCTCAACTTCACAACGAATGAGCCACCTATGATTTCGACTTCACAATGAAAGATATCGTACCCCAAAAGATTAATCCAACTTCACGACGAATGAGTCATCTGTAATACAACAATGAAAAAACAAGTTTCATACCAAAGTCTTCAGGTTAAATTTCAGCTTCACGACGAAGTATATTGAGCTAGAAGACGATCAATGAGCTACTTTCCAATGCTTTGAGCTCGTTTTCAACTTCACAACGAAGGATATCATGCTTAGGATTTTCCAGTTCAACTCAACCTCACGATGAATGAGTCGCCTGTGATTCAATCCAAACTAACAAACCAATCATAACATTAGATTTCAACTCTACGATAGAGGATATTCGATAGGATAGGGATCGATCCCCATAATAAAGGATGTTAAACTCAGTGATACATTCATGATGGATGAAAATGGTGTCTTTTAGTCTTTACCCTATCCCCGTTACACGACTATGGGCAAAGAGGGGTAGTTGTAGACACATTTTTGTCCAACCTTGTGATATATTGTTATTATATGATATATTATATTATATTATATTTATTATGTGACTTATTTACATTATATGGTATATATATTATATAGCTATAGTTATTTACATTATTCATATATTACATAGTATATTTATATTATATATTTTTTATTATACACAAATTCTTTTTTTCTTTTTTCCTTCCAGGTCCAACCCACCTTAAAAGCAGGCCAAAGCCCAAAGGTGGAAATGGCCCGTATGTAAACCACTAGAGATTCCAATGGTCAAATGCGCCACTCAAATGTCCACCGTCGAATCAGAAGAAAATTAAACCACACTCGTTTTAATTCTAGGGTTTGTGATGTTAAGATTATCTCGTAGCTGATTATGCACCGTTGGATCTATTCTAGATCTAATGGTCTAAAATCAAAGAGGATTGGGTTTGTCCTAATGCACTACCGCCGCCAGTATCTCTACCGTTGGATCAAGATGAGATCCAATGGCCTACGATAGGACATGGACCTAGGGTTTCTAAACCCAACAACCTCAAATCATGCAATCACCTAACAGTAGGGAATTTGGCCTCACAATCCCAAATTTTTCAGCCCGTTATCCCTTAGTTGGAAAATGGTTTCGTAAAAATTAACAACCAATATAGAATCCTAACCCAACTAGGACTCAAAATTGAACTAAAAAAAGGGACTCTTATTATATAAATTCCTGCAAAATCAAGAGGAAAAATAGGTTAGATTTGGAAGTGAAACGCACTTGTAATCGCAAAAAAGAAAACATCAATAAAAGGTATCACTTTTACCTTTCTCGTTTTTGTTCTTGGTGTGTTGTTGGCTTCAGCTTTTTTTTTTTTTTTTTGCTATGTTTTTCTTTTGGTTCGAAAAACCCCTATGAAAAGGGGAAGTCGATGAAAAGGGGAGGGTTTTCGAAAGATCTTTCTCAGATCTAGCCCTCCCCAAGGCTTGTTTGTGAAAACAAAAGGTATTTTCGAATAGAGTAAACTGAAAGCTATCAAAAAATGTAAAAAAAAAATCACTGTCAATGAACGGCGGCTGGCGAGGCGGTGACCGACCGGGAATTAGGTTCTCTATGAACCCCGACCAAATGTTCTTGGTATGTGAAGAACATTTGAGAGAAAAAAAAATAAAAGGAAGTTTGATTTGTTTTGAGGGAGAAGGAAAAATGAAGAAGTGTTGTTTCATTTTGGGCTTTATACCTTACCCGCAAACCCGATTGACTATGCTCTCGGTCCCTTAAAGTTTTTCTGGAAATCCATTTCATCCTTTTTTTTCTTAATTTTGCTAAGTTTTCTTTTAAATTTTTCCTTCATTTGGTCTTATTTTTGAAGTTGATCCTTTTTTTTTCTTTGTATATATTTTACATTTTCATTTAATTTATTATGCTTTACGTGATTTTAACCTGATCATAATCATCTTTATTTTTTTATTTATTTTCCTTTTCAATTTAGTTAATTTTTGGGTTTTTATATTTTTATTTATTTCATTCCTTTTATTTTTATTTTTATTTTTATTTTTATTTTTATTTTTATTTTAGTAATCGTTGGTCTTTGTTTAATCTCGCTAATTTTTTTTCTTACGTCATTTTTTATTTACTTTGTGTTTTTTATGTGTGATTTGTTTTTTTTTTTTCATATGTATTTCTATTTTCTATTTTGTTAATTTCTATTGCTTGGCATGTATATTTATTTCGTTTAAATTATTATAAGTTAACTTTTGTTTATCTTTTTTTGATCAATTAAGTACTTCATTTTTTAACATCTTTTTGACCTTTTAGGGATATTTTAATCAATCGGAGGTAAGTAATCTGGATCGAACTTTTATCTTTCTATTTAACTTTCAATTTTCTTAATTAAAATAACTGGAAATTAAATTTGTACCGAAATGGCAGTACAAGGGTGTTAATCATTCCTTGACTGTAACCGACTCCCTTGCCAGACATATTTTTGGTAAGATTCAGATCAGGTAAGAAACCGAGGTATCCGATCAACTAATTTTTGTTCTTAAAATAAATTATTGGTGCCGACTCTAACACATTTATTTAAGTCGAAGCTCAATTCCGAGCTCACTCGAAAGATTGTATTTAGAAAATTACTTGTATTTATGTTTCCATAAATTATCATAGTAAAGTTCATATTTGATTTGTATCATAATAATAATCTACTTGTCTTTAGTACTTAAGTTCTAGAACTTTCGCTGATAGCGATAAGTAGATAATTCAATATATTTTCCTATTATCGTTATGTTTAACTGATCGAGTACGTGATTGCTTTGTATATTTTAAAAAGAATGATTTCTTGTTACTATTATTTTAGTAATTTGTATCCACTTTTAAATTAATGAAAATAGATTGGATTTTTATTACCAAAAAAATATCCCTAACGTTTGATTAAATAGTCATTTTAACCAAAATTCTATTTTAAAGCATTTTGGCTCTCAACATTTTATTTTTGAGTAAAAAGTCTTCTAACATTTGAATAAATAATCACTTTATCTTTTTTTTAACTAATTATAAGGGGGATGAGTGTTCTCGGAAATCATCTAACTAGGGACTTTTAAATAATGTATGTACAATGTTTTCTTTAAACTTTATATTTGTAATTATAAATAAATATTATATAAAAACCCATAATTATATTTGTAATTTTAATTTTTATTAAATTATTAAATAATTTTTTTCATATAAATTCATTACCTATAAAATTTAATATTAATAATTTAACACTTAATTTTTTGGCTTATCAAGCAACACCTTATATTTTATTTTATTCTTCTTTCAATAAATATATTTTTCTACTTCAAATATATACATAACGTATTAAACTTATAATACATGCCTAATATTTCAAAAATTATTAATGAATAATTACTATAATATGCATGCGAATTTTGATGTTTTCAAAATAATATTTAATTTTTAATAACGGCAAACATTTATTTTTGAAGAAATAATAATATCACTCGTAAAAATAATTACTTAACAAGAACAAATGATAAAATAGTCTCCAAAGTTGTTCATTTTAATATAAATATGACTGTAATGGTTGATTAAATATTACTTCCTCTTTCCTATTAAATATGTCTTTTGTTGACATTTTATTAGTCAATTTTTTAACTTTGATTCATTATTATTTGAAATTTATTATTGATAAAATTATATATTTTAAAAACTTTCAATTAATTAGTTTTCAAATATTTATTTTGTAAAATTTAATTGTTTAAAATATTTAAAATAATCATGATTATATTTTAAAAATTTAACTTTTAAAAAATCAATAAGCAACAGATTTAGTGAGACGGATGAAGTAATTTAATTAACAATTTAACATTATTTTTATTATAATAAAATATTAAAAGTTCATGTACTTTTAAGTAAATAATATCCTCTATTATAATTAGTTAATTAGTTAAGGATTTGAAAGTTATTCCTTTGTTTAAGAAATATGTAAAATAATAAAAAGTAATAATCATTTTTCAAATAATGAGTAAACTCACCCATAAAAATAGGGACAGAAATATGAATTTATGTTAGGAGAATAATTTCTAAAATTTTATGCAGATATGAATTTATAAAGGCAACGAAAACATATTATCAATAGAAAATACAAAAAATATCTAAAATATATGATAATTTGAAATTTTTAAGGGACCGGCTTCGGGTTTATTTCTACTCATGTTACCTAATTTTGCAATTGACAAAGCACCAATAGTGCAATTTTGACATTTTGAGTAACACCTTATTTGCAAAAACATAAATTGGAGTGGGGGAGAAAGGAGGTACACTATAAGATTCCAATATTTGTTCAGTGATTTCCCCAATGAGAACGGCCTTGGCGTTTCTTTCATCCCACCTCTCGAGCGTATGCTCTCTTCCGCTTCTTTTCCTCTAACTCACTATTCCCTTCTCTGTCTCTCAAAATAACTCTTACATATAAATATATATACCATCTTTTCTAGGCATCACTATATTCACTCTTCATGCAATGGCTATTGACTTCATCTCCAACATAGCATCCATGCCTTCCCATCAGAAAGACGAAGGAAAAGATGAGCCGAAAAAGCTGGTTTTCGACGCGTCGGTCCTTCGGTTCAAATCCCAAATTCCGAAAGAATTTATATGGCCTGATGATGAAAAGCCTAGTTCAAATCCACCAGAACTCAAAGTACCCCTCATTGATCTAGGAGGCTTCCTCTCTGGTGACCCTGTTGCTACAATGGAAGCTTCGAGGCTTATCAGCGAGGCATGTCGGCAGCATGGTTTCTTCCTCGTTGTTAATCACGGAGTCGATTCGAAACTCTTGGCCGATGCTCATAGCTACATGGATAACTTCTTCGAATTGCCACTATCCGAAAAGCAAAGGGCTCAAAGAAAATTCGGTGAGGAGTGTGGATATGCTAGTAGCTTCACAGGCAGATTCTCCACCAAGTTGCCATGGAAGGAAACTCTTTCTCTTCGCTATTCGGCTAAGAATAACTCATCCAAGATAGTGGAAAACTACCTTGTTAATAAAATGGGAGATGACTTCCGGCAATTCGGGTGAGAAACTCGAATGTTAACATCCAAAACTGATCTATGTTATGGTAAAATCTGAAGTTTTTTGTGTGTTTTTGTGTATAGGAGGGCTTACCAGGCCTATTGCGAGGCGATGAGCAAGCTTTCGTTGGGGATAATGGAGATTTTAGCCATTAGTCTGGGCGTAAAAAGGGCACATTTCAGGGAATTCTTTGAGAAAAACGATTCAATAATGAGGCTAAACTACTACCCCCCATGTCAAAAACCAGACCTCACTTTAGGAACAGGGCCTCATTGTGATCCAACGTCGTTAACCATCCTTCACCAAGACAGAGTTAGTGGCCTTCAAGTGTTTGTAGACAACGAATGGCGTTCAATCAGCCCGAAATTCGAAGCATTTGTCGTTAACATTGGCGACACCTTTATGGTAACATACCTTTTTCAACTTATTCCCTTACTGTCGTCGATGATCGGTTAAGCTTAGTGGGTTTCTTTTTCTTCTTTCTCAGGCACTGTCGAACGGGAGATACAAAAGTTGCTTGCACCGGGCGGTGGTGAACAGCCAGAAGACAAGAAAATCTCTCGCTTTCTTTTTGTGTCCAGCGGGGGATAAAGTGATAACCCCACCAGCCGAGTTGGTGAACCAAAACAGTCCCCGAGTGTACCCAGATTTTACATGGCCTATGCTGCATGAATTCGTACAGAAACATTACAGAGCCGATATGAACACTCTCCAAGTATTCTCCAACTGGGTTCAACACAGACACAGCTGAACCCTTCTTGTGTCAAAATACAAACTCATGGCATTGAATTGAAGAGATGGGATGGATTTTTTGGTAGTGATGGACACAAGGCAGGACAAGAGATGCAATAAAAAAACCCAATAAGGACCTCGGATCAGCCTTTCTCCTTTCTCCTTTTCTCTTATCCATTGATAATACTGAAAGGCAATCAATAGATTCACCTCTCCTCTTCATGTAAAAAACAAAATTAGCCTACTTAATTACTACTACTACTTTTCTCAAGCGACTTCATTCATTGTACACACTGGTTTTATATTTTCTCATTCTCTTGCTTACGTTTTTCAATTGAACAAAAATCTTAACCACATATGCAAAAACAAAGAAGAAAAAAAAAACTCTTTGTTTCACTCCATGATTTAAGCCTAAAACTCATTAGTTTTTTGGTAACCAAATGTTTCAGGTTCGAACAGGACGTTTGCTGAAATGTTTGAACCTATATGCATATGAAGGAACTCAAAACACTGTTAAATAACATGATGATTCATTTTCTGAAAACAAATATTCTAGCTTTGTATGAACCAACAAGCATGTTCCATTTGACGATGTTGGACCTACATGGAGTAGGGGTAAGGGTGTCAAATAAATTAGAGAGAAGGAAGTGGCCCACAAATTGAATGATTCTGAGGAACAGGGTGCTACAATCCATTGAGGATTGGCAGAGCTTTCACTGTAAAATGTATTTTTCTGCAAACATATATATAATTTTATACAAATAGAGATTTGGAAGTTTATGGATATATAAAAAGCAAAGGAATACTAAGCAACATTTGTCGAGTTGTTTGTCCTTAAATGCTGCAACATTCTTTTCATAATATAATAATACTGCCATCTTTCTTTTTGAAAATGAGGGGCGTGCGTATGTAAGTTCCCATGTAATTATAATCTCATTATTCGTTTAACTAATATGCATTGATACTTAACCACCGTATCTACTCACCAGTGAGCATCAAATACCGATTTTCTTAGAAGAATTTGTAGCTCTTATATTACTTTATTATGGATTAGCCTAAGATAAAAGATTAAGAATTATAATCAATTCATACTGTCGGAAATATTTCATCTCTTTGACCCTCTCCCACCTTCCAAAAGAATAAGCAATTCTCATATGTAGAAGGTAGGGTGACATTTCAGGATGGGGTGCTTATCGAATGAGTCGGTAACAATTTGAGTATTACTCGATGTTGGTAATGCTCAATCTCACATAATATGGGAAATACAATTAAGAATGAGTATTTAAGGCTTGCATTCTCCGCACCCTTGTTGAGTGATAGAGAACAAGGGGTATTCTCGCACGGATACTATCTTTTAGAAAAAATTCATGAGGAAAGATAGCTTTAGAAGAGCAATATCGTCGACAGTCCACTCCAATTTTAAGTGTAAGAAATCTCTCCAAGCGAAAATTCGTTTCTAAGGCAGTGGTTTTACCACGAACACGATTTCAACGTTTATTTTATTATTATTTATTTTTCCAGTCATTGTTAACGGTGTGATTTTGCAGTCAATATTTCCAACACTCGATTCGAAAACTATTTAAATCATGTTCAACTCAATATTCGATAAGTTCAATAAAGTTTAGTTCGATTTGTGCTTGTTAAAAAATCTCGTTGCTCGACTCGATTCATTACTTGTTAAGTTATTCAGAATTTATCTTTTTTTTATAGTAATGCTATATACATCTTAATAGTGTTTGAAGTATTTTCAAATTCTAAACTCTAAAGTATCAATCTACAAATACACCAAATTAACATATTACAACCATTTTTGAAAGGAAAAAAGAAGAAGTTTAACAATAGATAATCAATCTTAAAAATAAGGCAATCAACATCTTCAAAAAAATTTAAAAAGTAATGAAATGTTCGCGAACTTATCCAGTCAAGTTAGGTCTTATTCGACTCGCTAAAGTCTCGAGTCGAGTTTAGATTGAACCAAATCAAATCGAACGTTAATTCAGGCTTGACCAAGTCGAACTCAAACGGCTTGCGAGTTGAAGTAAGTTAACACCTCTGAAGATCTGGATGGGCGCATATTATATGATTAAGTTTAGGCTAAAATATTAAACGAGTCCTTGAACTTTGTTACTTTATTTGAACAAGTGAGGAAATTGTATGATTGGAAGTGGTTGATGAAGAGAATAGAGAAAGAGCCGCCACAAGTAAGGACAATGACAGTCCCATTCCCGTACTCACATCCAAAAGGCCCGCATCACGTGGAACCTTTTGTTGTTTCTTTTGTCACCCCTTTGTTTCTTCCCAACTACATCCCCATCGACCATTTAACTTTTCTTTCCAACAATACATGTTATAAACCACATCTCATCTCTTCAAGATTCTATACTTGATTTCAATTTTTTTATTTATATGTGGGACCGAACTAGGATCAAACATTGAGAGGGCTAAATTGTTTAATATCTGAAGAAGAAGGTTCTATTAAGTATTTAATCTAAAAAGTGAGAAAGATAAATGTCTTATTTGACTAATATTTAAACTAAAAAAGGATCTAAAATGTCATTATACCAAAGAAGAAGGCTCTATTAAGTATTTAATATCAAAAGGTATAATGCCAAAAATAGCCCCTAATGTTTATCAAAATAGTCATTTGGCCCTTATTCTTTTTCTCGGGGCATTTTACCCCCCAACGTTTAACTTTGGGACAAAAAGCTCCCTCTATAGATGAAAACTATTAGTTAACACATGATTAACACTCCAAAACAGGAGCCTTTTTAACCTAAAATGAAACATTGAAGGCTAAAAATAAAAATGACCCAAGAAAAAAATAAGGGACAAAATGATTTTTCTGTCAAATTTTAGGACATTTTTGCCCTAAAATGAAATATTGGGGGCTAAAATGCTCCAAAAAAATATGGGGCAAAATGATCATTTTGGTAAAAGTTGGGGGCTATTTTTTGCATTATGACATCTAAAATAAGAGGGATAAAGGTCTTATTCGACTAATATTTAAACTAAAAATGATCTAAAATGTCATTGTACTAAAATATATGGCCTTAATAGATTCGTTCTTGTATATATGAGGCAAGATTTGTTCATACCGTATAAAACTTTTTACTTTTATATCTTTTTAAGAATCTCAGATGAGTGGAGATAAATGATTGAAATTAACGGTAGCAAATTTATGTGTTTTTTTTTATTGGATGAATCTTAAGTGGTGTTAGGTCAAGTTTTAACTAGTTGAGTAACTAAAACAATAATTGGAATGTAAATGCAAAGAGAAAATGAACACTTCCTCCATATGGAAGGGCTTGTCTAAAGACAAATCCACAATCAAACTATCAATACAAGTGTCGATACCCATTTTGTTCAGGTTATTATTATTGTTATTATTATTATTGTTGTTGTTGTTTTGTTTTGCTTTGTTTTCAAGTTACAACAAACCCAAACTCAAACCCAACAAGTGGCCCAGTACTCGAAGCCCAACTGGTCCAAGCCCAAACTCGGGCCCAATATACTAACCCTAATCAGTTAGGGTTTCTAAACCCTAGTCTCTACCAGCCGCCACCGCTACTGGAACCAAGAACCCTTGTCGTTGTCATTTCTGTCATCGCTCCGACCACCTGACAACCGTCGTTTCAACCACCAATGTCATCATCCCTACAAACAATGAAGTAGATAAGAAAATCAACCCGAAACCCATTAAAAATATTGAAAAATCCTGAAAATCATGATATTAAAATATTTGGGTCAGATCCATCATCATTTCTCTGTCAAGCTTCACCAAACACGCAAGAATGGGGAAATCGTTTCCCTATGGTTTTAGACCGACCAAACACGCAAGGATATCATATAAGCAAGATCCGAACGAGGGGGAAAGGGGATTCGAACCAGATCTAAGAAAAAAAAGAGAGCTTTTTTTGGGTTTTAAAAAAATCGAGGGGGTTTGGTTTAAAAAAATCAAAGAAAAAGGACAGAGAGAGTTTTCGGAAAAAAGAAACGAAAAGAAAAAAGGAGAAAATGAATACCTTTTCTTCGAAGAAGCGGCCATCGGTGTCACCAGAGTCTCAAGGTCGAAGGTTGTAACACCCCAATTTAGGGGCTAAATTTAAGAAATTATAAAGTGATGAATTTAATTGGTATTTTTGGATTAAATCGGGGATTATATTGTAAAATTTCAAAGTTGGAAGACCGTTTTAAGACGTACAGGAAGTCCAGTGACTAAACTCTTGGTTTACCCATTTTTTTATATAGGATGAATTATAAATTTCTTCTCCCTGTGCGCAAGTTCTCATTTTTTTTCCAGTTTTGTCTTCTCCAACTAACCTCCTTTCAACTCCGATCTACTCGCCGTCCGACCTCCGATCAACGAGCCGAAACCACCATCGTGTTCGTTGTCAACCGAGGAACAAAACCCCTCAAACCTTTCGTCATGAATCATCTCCGTTCGTCGTTAATTTCAGTCGGAAGTATCGTCGGTAATAACTCGGTTTTAGTTGGTTTTTCATCGATTCACGACGATCGGGTCATCCGTTTATGACACCTCCCGCACCATCGTGTTCGTTGCATCGTTCCGAGTTCGCCGGTGTCATCCTTGGTCTCCGTCGACGGCGGCGCGTGAAGAGGTGAAGCGGTCAAAGTTTCCGATTTGTTGAAATCGAGCTCTCCACCGTTCAAAATTGTGAACCGAGCTTTGTAAGTATCTTGAAATCGCTTGAAATAATTTTTGAGAATTTTTTCGTGATTTTTAGGCAGTCGGAAAGGGCCCCACGTGCCGCCACTACGCGTGGGGATGGTCCAAATGACCGGTTTGACCGGTTTTGGTGCATAGTTGACCGGTTTGACCGGTCATAACCCGACCTGACCCAACCCATTTACCCGACCCGTTGACCCGACCCGACCTGTTGACCCGACCCGTTGATCGTTGACCGGCGTTGACCACTGTTGACCAAAACTTTAACCGGCTTTGACCGGGCATTAAACGACCTTTGACTTCGACCGAGTATACCTATCCTGACATTTTTTTGACGTTCCAAATCCGATTCCGCTGTCCGTTTTTCGAAATTCGAACCCGAAGGCCTCGAAATTGCCGGTCAAACCCGTTGACTTTGATTTTGACT